GGGATGGCTGAGTAGCCAGCGGAGGCAGGGGACTGGAGGGATTGCTGAGTAGCCAGCGGAGGCAGGGGACTGGAGGATAAGTGCGCCATGGAGAAGGAAAAACACTCTGAATTTTTCCCTGCAGGGATCATGGGGCCCTCTCAAGGTGAAAGTTGGGTGAAATGCTCCAATCAAAACTTTGCAGGGAAAGATTTGCAGCAAACTGAAAAGTTGGGAAAGAAACCTTTTGGGTTGGATGAAATGTTTCCGTTCCATTGGAAGCAATTTCAAACATTTTGTAAATAAACAAACATTTCAAAACAAGCCACTGCGAGCCAAAACACCAAAACATTTCATTTAAAAATACCAGACGATCTCTTCCAGGCCCCAGGAGAATTGCCCCGCCGTGGAATACTCCTGGTATAAACCTTGGCACGGTGCAGGGCGTCTGACACTGCTCTTCCGTGTTAAACAGGAGTGTGTCAAACACGAGGAGTCATTCTTCTGCTCTACTCTGCACTAGTTAGGCCTCAGCCGGAGTCTTGTGTCCAGTTCTGGGCACCACATTGCAGGAAAGATGTGGAGAAATTGGCAAAGGTCCAGAGAAGAGCGACAAGAATGATAAAAGGTCTAGAGAACATGAGCTATGAGGGGAGGAGACTGGACTCGATGCCTCTCAAGGTCCCTTCCAGTCCTAATGTTCGAGGGGTCTCCTGCTAGGGATGGTCTAGCCGGAGCTTGGTCCTGCTGTGAGGGCAGGGGACTGGACTCGATGCCTCTTGAGGTCCCTTCCAGTCCTAGTGTTCGAGGGGTCTTTGGCTCCCCCCTAACACTTGTGCTCTTTGCTGTTTCCGTTCTTGCAGTAGGACACCTCCCAGCCCACCAAGGCTGATGATTCTGTGGCCGCTCGGAGGACAACAGAATACGACAAGATCATCTAACCGCTTCCCTGGGCCACAGGAACGTGCAGCCAGCAGGGAGAGGAGCTAGCCAAGGAGTAAGGCAGCCCCAGCATCTGCCACCCAAACAGCTGAGGATTCATGCGTGGAGCTTGCCCTGTGCCTAGCCGGGGTCCTGCTCACTGACGGGGGCTGCTCTCTGCTGCTGCAGTGCAAAATCCAACCAACAAATCAACCCCTGGGCTGCCCCCTACTCGAGGGCTTAGCACCCCTTAGAATGCATTCCGGCTCTAAGGCCGGGCTGGCACCACAAGGCACCTTTCCCTCCCCACGTCCATCTCCAGCCAAACCTCAGTGACCTCAAACAAACAGAGTGGATCAAACAAACTGCCAGGTACTTAATTACACGGACCCTTCGCTGCCTCGCTTTTCTCCTCCTCCTCCAGAAGGAACTCTGGTGACTCAGGTATTTTTTTACCCTCAAGGGTTTCAAATCAACGTTCCTCACCAGGCAGAGCAAAGCTGCCACCATGTCTGTCCTAGGATGCGAGAGACACAACTTGAGAGAGGCCGGATCTTGGAGGGAAACCCGAGGAAAGTTTGCGGGTGGGGTGGGGGGGTTGGCAGGAATTTCTTTGTGCCCTGCATGCAGCGGGAATGGATTTTACTAGCACTAAAGGCAGGAGACGGAAAAGGCAGTGCAAACCTGACTGGAGCGTTGGAGACCCGAGATGCCATGCTCTCTGCATTCCACACAACACCCGTGGGACATCCGACCCAACAGGAGGGACGTGTCCAGGGGATAGTTTCAGTTTGAGGCAAATAAACTGTTTGGTTTCACCAAAATCTCAGGATTTGCTTTGGGTTTGACTAGTTTTATTTTTTAAATATTTCAAACTGAGGGATTCGGAAAGGAAAAGACGTTGGAACTTTTAGACAAACTTTCAAGGCCTCAGCCCAATGCCCAGGCCGGTTTCTCGCAGTGCACAGCTCTGACTGCTGACCAAAGTCGTTGGAAAACCTGGGCTCAAGTGATGGAGCTGGCGGCGGGGCCATGAAATGAAGTTGGCTCCTCTGTCTCCCTCTGCTGCCTTCCCCACATGACTATCCCGTTCTCCCTTCCTGGCGCAGTTTGCTTGTTCTGAGTCAGTACAGCTCCTGACGCGGGGGGGTGCTGGGCTGTAAACACATGCTCTGGTACATGAAAAATGCTGCTTCTTGTCCGCCTAGAACTCCCTCTGCCCCCTTTCCGCCCTAACCACGGCCCTCCCCAGTCATCCCTGCCCTGCTGGCATCTCAGCCCTCTCAGGCCATGTCTACACCACTGCGCCATTTCCAGAGAGCAAGGGGCACGTCCACACAGCAAGCCCCTTATTTCACAATTATTTCCAGCTAGCAGGCTCATTGCGGAGTAAGAAACCCTCATTCCGTGAGGAATAGCGCCGATTTCGGAATAGCGCCGATTTCGGAATAGCGCCATTTCGGAATAGCGGTCGTGCAGATGCACCATGGCTGCTACGTCGAAATAGCTCCTCCCCAGGCCCAGTCACTGTAATCGCTCCCAGCGCCTCCTGGGCCTCCGAGTCGAGGTAGCGCGTCCACATGCGGGGAGCAGCCTGGGACTGATTTCAGAAGCGTTATTTCGGCAGTGAATGTTCCAAACTAGCACATTTCGAAGTGCCCTTGCAGGGTGGGCCTGCCCCAGGGGTAGGCCCATTGCTCTGTCTGCAAACTGCCCTGTATGCAGCGCTCTGCAGAAAACATTCCCATTAACACGTCCTGTGTGTGGATGGGGAATCACTGCAGGTGCCAAAGGGAAAAGTCCAGGGCGTTGTGGGAAACGTCAGACATGATCCAGAGAACGGATTCTCCCCAGCCGAGGGGGGCCTGCCACTCCTATGAGCTCCAGCCACATTAGCTAAGCACCTCCCGGTGTGGGAAGGGCTGTCCCAAAGTGATCAGCAGAGGAACAATTCATTTGTGTTACTGATGAAGAACTCGAAAGGTTTTGTCTGTGTGTGTGTGTGTGTATATGTGTATGGGTGGGGGGCGCTGTGTGTGTGGGGCGCGCATGTGGCACTGTGTGTGGGGCGCTCTGTGTCTGGCGCTCTCAGTGTATGTGTGTGTGTCTGGGAGACACTGTGTGTCTTTGTATCTGTGTGGCACTGTGTGTGGCACTGTGCGTCTGTCTGTGTGGCACTCTGTGTGTGGTGCTGTGTGTGCGGGGTGGGGCACTGAGTGTGTGTGTGTGTGTGTGTGTGTGTGAGACACAGAGAGCTGAACACTGGGGTTCTGATCAGGAGATGGGGTCTCCAGGTAGGGTCATCATTATGCAAATATTGCATCAATTTACGCCAATGGCGGAGCAGCCTGGTGGAGGTGGGGTGGTGACAT